CCCAGCCTCCGACACGCGATCGATGCCTTCTGGCGTGCTTTCGCTGCGCAAGCACGCGTGAGGTGCATGAGATGGCCAGGCTTTATTGAAACCAGGAAGTTCATGCTGGAGGCGGGGCAACTGAAGTTGTTCCCTGTCGTTCTCACTCCGTCCGCGACTAGACACGACTTGTTCGCACTGGTGATGTCAGTCTCATTGTCATCACTGCTACGTTTTCGAAGCACGTCGTTGGCGTCGTCCAACAAAATCTCGCACTTCGCAAATGACAGCCTTAACCGTATCTTCTGCGCTTGCTCGGCGATCGAGTTGCACGGCACGGGTAGGGATTTCTCTTACATCCATCATGAGAAAGCTGATGGAACGAAGGGTGCTTGCACATATTCAGTGGAAAGCAGAAGACCTCAGGATCTTTCATCCCACACAAACGGGGTTCTGCAAGAATTTGAGTACCCACGACAGTCTGGTCATGATTTACCATGATGTCGCTGACCAGCACCCCAACAGCCAGCAGCTCCGGGCCTTGGTCACGGTGGACATCAAGAAGGCCTTTGACACGGCCCCACACGAAGCTGTCGTCTCCTCGATGTACGAGCATGCCCTGGAGGGGAAACAACTAGATTTTGTCCGTTGGTTCCTGGCCGGCTGCCGCTACCTCGTCAAGTTGGACTACGCCCCTGACGCGCATAGCAGTACTACCAAGGAGACACTGGAGTCCCTCAAGAAGCAGTATTGTCGCCGACATTATTCAACATTGTCATGGCGCCGCTCCTCTGGGCCCTCATCGTGTTCCGAACCTACGAGCTACTGCCTAACGCCGACGACATTATTATCTGGACATGCCGAGGCTCGGTTTTGATGCAGAAGACAGCACTGCAGGTGGGTCTAGATGCCATCGATGCCCACCTTCGCCGCGTCGGCATGTTTTCGTCCCCAGCAAAAGTGAAGTGCATGTTGTAGGGCCGTAGGCATTCTACCCCTGACTTGGGCCTCACTTTCGACGGTAGTTCATAAGCAAGGAGCCTCTCATAAAGATCCTTGGAGTGAATTGTGGGTACAGCTCTCAAGTGGCAGCCGAATGGATTACCGTAGAATACCGGGCAAGCGCGCACTCAAAATTTCGAGATAATCATGAAAAAATGGGGGATGGGCGCTTGTCCGGTCATCAATTCTACATATAAATGTACTGTGCATTATTTCTCAGATCTTACAAATTTGGGAATGGGCGCTTAATGTGGTATGGGCGAATGCGCGACATTCTACGGTAGTCTATTTCGCCGCAATGGAGACACGGCCTAAACCTTGTCCGTCGCATGTCCCATCGTCTGAGCTGTGTGGGAGAACGTACCACCAAGATTCTGGTCACATCCGCCCATGCTTCGAAGGTGGCCTATGCTGCTCGCTTCTACTCCCTCAAATGAGTCCATCTCGACAAAATTGCGACACTGTATAACGAGGCCCACTGAACCATCCTTGGGCTCTTTCGACACACACGAACGTCAGAGCTTCGCAGGTGGCTGCACCTTGTCGACCTTCGAGAAACACTAGAGCAGCAACTCGACGTGCACATGGCCTGACTTGTGCATACGCTCCTTGGAAAAGCAGCTGCTCGCTTCGTTGAAGTAGCTCTGACCAACATCAACGACCTGCCGCCCACCAAGCCTCCATGGGATCTCATTGATCTTGTGCAATGTGCACGGCCTGTCCCGCGAAATATGGATGCCAAGTGCCATGCCAAGTGTTCAGAGAGAGCATTATGCCCGTCAACACCACGCCGAGGTAACCACATTATCTCAGGACCCTGCTTAGGTCATCCCAAATACGGATGTTGCCCTGCGCACATCCGGTCGATCTGCGAAAACTGCGGTGTTCCCATCCCATGACCATGCGCAGTGTGATCCTACCATTGTTGCAACCACCAGCACGACCCTTCCATCGCCCGAACAAGTTGAAGCCCGTGCCATCTTCCTCGCCCTCCAGATGTATGAGGTCAGGAATCCAGAGCCTGGCATGCTTACGGTGTTCACGGACTCTTGGGACACAATTCGCATGCTTAAAGGTGTACTTCAACGAAATTTGAAATATGCTACGAGTGAGGGTGACGAGAGGACAAAAAGTGAACCGAAAATGAAGGTTTAGTCGGCGAACGTGGGCCAAACAAAATAAAGAATGAGTGTCGAGGCAGCAGCAAGCAGGCGGCGATTTGACACCGTAGTCGCAAGCGAGAGCGAGACTGACTCAACAAGGTGCTGTGCAGCTCCTTTTCGACTGTGTGTGACTATCTCGAAAATTCGGCAAAAAAGCTCAGAGCGTTGCGCTCTCGGGGCGAGAATGAACAGGCACTTCCGAGAACAAGAAAGCAGGACGAGTTGATAAAAGTCCTGCCCTGAGCAAGAACAAACGCGAATCTTCCAGAATTCCGTGACCGAGCGTTGCTTGTTCGGCCCTGCGCGCAGCAATACCGTATTTACCCCCATAATGAACACTTTTTATCCTGAAAAATTTACACATGTTTGGAGGGGGTGTTTATTACGCGGGGTAAAATTTTTGCATTCACACGCTTCGTGCAAATGTCATATTAAGTGCCAATATGACACGGCAAGGTACTGTGGCATGTCTCCACTGATGGAGGCACACCCACAGCTGGATCAGGGGCGTGCCACACTAACCATGCTTAATAAACGCGAGACACTAACCATGTTTTATAAATTGCAAACCTTTTTGGGGAGCTTTCGGCGTGCCTTTTGCCGAGGGAAAAGCGTGCTATGAAGCTCATTTAGCACGGAGAGCGACATGATCGTTCTTAGGCCTAACCACTTTCATGATTTCACTGTCCAAAAGCGGACCACAGACGATGGCATGTTTGTTGACGTCAATGCATCCGATAGGCGATCGTGGTTTTAAGCAGAATTTATATCGTGATTTGAAGTACTCTAGTTTTAGTGTGATGATTCATATTATACTTTTCCTAAAAAAAATAAAAATACCAGAAATATATTTTTATTTATTGTTTGCTTGTGACTTAATATTTTCATGGGCATTTGTTTTGTATTTAATTAAAATTATAGCCAAACAAGGAAAATATACATCAGGCTGAGCACGAGCAAAATATGGTATTCTTCTGAGCAAATCGGAAAGGAGCTTTGTTTTTACCTTCCACTTTATTTGCTCAGTTCTCTTTCATCCTATGCAAGCAAGTTGAAATGCGAAGGAAGGAAACAAACAATAAGTATGAAGTATGCGTCTGCACAAGAGCAACAAACTGACAAAGAGTGAGAGTTAGAAAGAAAGAGAAACAGACAGTCACAGGGATACATACTGAGTTATTAATCTAATGTAAATCTTGCATTGGCCAGTATACTAACTGTTGTCTTACACGAGCTTGCTGCTTATTTTTCTAGACCATACCACCACTTTACACTCTTTAAAACTAAATCAAAAAGCCATTATTATTGGGCAACTAGCCGACTGTGCTCGATTTCAAAGGCAGAAATCATTATTTTAATATAAAGTGACCGAAATTTAGATCTGAGAAATCCCACTTAAATCAAATAAATTTGGTTTGTATGCTTTTCTATTCAATATGTGTCTCCCCTTTCTGTAAAGTATGTGAGTGCACGACTTTAGAAAGTGCTGCACTTGAGCAAGAAATTATGCACTGAGCTGAACCATGTAAGGCTCCCATACCCCTGTTAACACTGCACACAATTTGTGATATAAAGTACATAAACTAATTTAGGGGAAATCCCCAAGGAGGAATAGATATAGGAATGAATAAATTTACTTATACCTGATATGGAGCGCAGTTCTCGCCTCTATGCGACTTGTGACAGCTGAAAATATCCGCCAGGTCCAGGAACCGACCCCGGACCTCTCCAAGATTCGCGAAGCGCTCTATCAACTGAACTAACCAGGAGCTAGCCACCAGTACAGCAAACGAATGTTAAAAGTTTATGACACTCTTGAACAAAAGTGCCATAATTGTGAAATGAATGTTTAAATGTTAAGTATAAATCACTGTTCGTCTAGGGATCAGTAGAACTAACTAAGGATCTGTAAGCCAGCACTTTGCCTCGTTGTCTTTGAGGTGGCTGTAAAACTAAATAAAGTCACATAATTGCAATATGGAGTGCGTATGATGAATTTGTTCTGTGACTACATGAAAAGAAAAAAAAAAAAAATGTTTGCAATAAAAACTAAATAGAAAACGTTCCTGAACAGGCAGGGGCTTTATTTCCATATTAAGGTGAACGATTTGCGTTGCTACGAGTATCGAGGCATTTGACGATCTGACACACATGAAAAGATAATTATAACTCCTTTAAGTAACACCTTTTGGCGGGCTAGTTGGTTCATGATTTTAGAAATAAATGAACTGCGCAAAGGACGAGGACAGAGGTAGAAACGAGTACGACACACAGAGCGCAGACTTCCAACTGTTTATTTGGCGCAGACACAACAGTATATATGACAGCAGCAATCAGTTTGCGGTTAAATAAGGTTTAAACATGACCGTCCAAAAAAGAGAATTCCTTGTCTGATAGTGAAACAGATTGCATGCTTATGCAGTCGTGACCTTTCTTTTTAATGAAGTAGGCTTCTACGAGTTTTCTTTCCGTTGCCTCATTTGCTCTTGCGAGAACACGTGTCCTTTGCAAATCAGGATGAAATGCGGTTGTCATCCTAATTCGCCGTCCGACCGACTTCGAATTAACGTGGTTCTACTGTACTGGCAGAGGACGGCATGCCAGCAGGCAGCAGTGGTGCGAGCTGGGCGCTAGTTTGGCATATGCCACATTGTTGCAGCTTGCGATCGGCACGGATTGATTATTAAAAAATGGAGCCTTTCATATGGAACGACCTGGTCTCCGCTCTCTTGTTGATGACTTAACAGTTTTAGCATTTTATGCCCAATAGCTGTGGGATGAAAAATGTTGTATATGGTCAATAAATTCTGTGTGGTCCTTCTGTTACTTTGCGGGAATAGAAAGATGATGTCATGGGGTGAAGAATTTTATTTCATCTGTTAGGGCTGAACATACAGACATGATTGATGTTAGGGCACTGTGGTAATGTCAACGGGAATAATTGACTCTTAATACGCTTTCAACATGATTGGTAACAAAGATCTTTGAAAGCCCACTTCCAGGCACCTGTAGAAGCAAAGACAAGATGAGCACCAGGCAGCAGTGTATGGTCGTTGAAGGCAAGAACATTGTGGGCAATAAATACTAAGTGATACGAGTGACCACGTGCATCTTCAGTTTTCTATTTACATTGTGACTGAAACGCACGCATCCAACATGGAAATTCCTATTTCAAGAGGAAGCCAACGGAAGTTTTAGCATGGGGTGTTGGCAAAGTTTCTTTTCAACTTTAAAGAAGCATCCTGAAAAGATTATTTCTTTGGTATCTATCAAACACAAAGGCCCCCTTGGTTATCACATGTTGTCTGTGTGGTAGATTGGAAACACTGAAAGATGATAAGGCACAGCTGCTTCTTACAGTTTTGCTCACTCTGGCCATTAGAAGACAGCAGCACTGAACAAGTCAAGGGACTGACTTTGAATTGTCCATAGCGTTGGTCACAACTGCCTTAATCAGCTGCCGTGTTCGAATTACAGCATCATGTTCCTTTGCAAATGGAATTTTCGCCAGAAGCTTCAAAGTCCTCACGGCACGTTCGCGTTTGAAATATTCATCAACAATAGCACCGTGAACTGCCTTGGCAACGTCCTGCATTGCTCGTTCTTTAGATACCTTGTCACCTCTTGCCCTGTCCCGAAACTCTTTCAGCTTCAGAGAGTCAGTCTGGCACACGTCTAGGATGCTAAGGCCGGTTGTCAGGTCCAAGTCAAGAAGGGAACTGCGAAGCAAGGCTGCTGTGGTGGTTTCACCTTGAGGTGCACCAAGGAAGCCTGCCAGAGTGCCCTTGGGCTGCAATGTTGCTGCACTGCCTGCGAACTGCATTGGTGCTCCTCTGTCCTTGGGCTGCACTGGTGTTGCACTGATCTTGGGCTCTAATGGTGTTGTGCTGTCCTTGCACTGCAATGCTACTAGCGTGACTTTGGGCTCTTGCACCACTACACTGACTTTGGGTTCAGGTACATGAACTACTACTGCTGTGGCATCCTTTTCTAAAATGTTTCCAGACCTAAATTCCTCCTTGTGTGAAACCCCATCTGGTGATTCTCCTTTAGGGGTGGCAGTAATGCTTTTGCAGTCCTGGCTTGAGTCCGTGACTCTGCTAGGACTCTGTACTTCTGTTTCAACTGTTACACTAGGACATAGCTCGGTATCAAGTAAATTCGCTGGTTCCAGAATGTCTTCGTGGGTGCAGTCATCATACTGCATAGTCTCCAGGCATAGGTCACCTAGAGCAAGCTTTATGCCACTGTCTGTCATATCAGGTGTGGCAGAGGCCTCAGTTCTGATGCTACTGCTCACGTCTTCCGTTTTCTTTGTGACTATTTTCTTTGTTTTTCTTCTTCGTGCGAAACACCAAACTGAACGCATCGACGTATTTGTGCCGCTTGAGCTCTTTTTCTTCACCTTTTTGTTTGATTTCATCGTTAGGCCTTTAAATTGAAGGTAGTCCAGTTTTACCTCGGTCTTCGAATCTTCTGATTCAAGCTTGGTTCCCTGAAGTTGAAGTTCATCAAGCTTCACGTCCTTTGAACTGAGCGTGATATCCTGAAGCTGGAGGGTGCAAGGCTTCTTACCATCTGAATCAGGCATGGAGTCCTGAACTTGAACATTGCACGGTTTCATGTCTTTTGAATCAGTCATGGTGTCATGCAGTTGAAGATTGACATCCCCCAAATCAAGCAGGTCTTCAGGTTTGCATGCTGTTGTAGACCCTTTCTCCAGTTCTGAAGGGGCTGTCTTCAAGGTGTCAGAAGCACATTCTTCTCCAGTTGGTGTTGTGTCCACTGGTATTTTGTCTTCTTTGCTCTGCACCTCCACTTCATTTGCATTTATGTCTACTGTACAAGGCTGTGTAGGTTGTTCGGCCTGAAAACTGCACACCTCTTGAGTTGATGCGCTGGCATTGAATTCAAGGTCCTCCAGATCACGAGGTTTGTTGACTTTAGGCAAGTCTTTGTTTGCATCACCGAGAGGTTCAGCTTGCTTGACAGTAGACTTTCCTCCAGTGACATGGAATGTCAGATCTGACCGAGAAGGTTGCTTGACTTGAAAAATGCTCATGCCTTGGCTTGAAATACTGTCCAAAAGCTTGAGGTCTTGCACACAATGAGCTTTGTCAACAGCAGACAAACTTGCACTTCTTTTCTTTTTGTTAAGAGGTTCAGTTGGTTCTTCAGCGGAACCACCCCTGATGGCGAGGACAAGACCCTGCAGATTGCGAGAATCTTCAAGCTCCGATACACTTGCTCTTCGTTTTTTTAGATTTCTGGGAGATGCTTGTGTGACAGCAGGGGTATCAGCCTCTTGAACATGTTTGCTCCTGGTAACACGACAGTCTTTAGCTCCAGATGAGCTCGCGTTTCTCTTCTGTGTTGCTCTCGGTACTGTAGTGGGCAGGCCACTAGATGCAGAGTCTTTTGAAAAGACTTCCAAGTTGCACGGTTTAGGTTGTGATAGACCAAGATTCTCTTCCACTTTTTTAGAAAGAGCATCATCCACAACGCCTGAATCACTGTGGCTTTCTGCTTGAACACTGCCTATAAGCTGAAGGCTGTTTGAGTTATCAGCACATTCAGCCTCAACTGGCACTCGGTCTGGACTTTCGGTTCTCTTTGGTGCAAGCACTGCAGCAGGCTCTTTCCTTGATAGAGCAGTGCTAGGTGATTTCATACTTCTTAAACTAAGGGTAGCTTGAAGCTTTGATGACTTGTTATTCACCTTCACTGTTCTTTTTGGAGGTGTTTTTCTCTTGGCATCAGTGCTTTGAATGGCTTGAATTTGTTTGCTCTTGAGCTTGTCCTTCTTTGGGACATCTGTATCACGGACCTCTGGCTGTTTTGCTTTTGCATCCTCCATTTTCTCTGTCTTTTGTTTTGCTTCATTAGTGCAGCTGTCTTGAGTCTGGATGTTGTTAGCAGGCTGAGGCCCCTCCAAGCCATCTGCAACATCAAGATTTACATTTTTTGTTGGATTTAGTGGTTCTGTGATGGCGGCTGCCGAGTCTTTGGGGTCGTCTGGTTGTGTCACATTGATGGACCTCTGGATTGTCTTGGTTGCCTCCTTTGGTATTACGTTTGTTTTGCGTGGCACACAGCTTTCTTGCGTAGCGTCAACAGGCTTGGTACAGTTTAGATCAGATTTTCTTTTCACCCGAGGGGACTTGGCATCATTCTTCGTTTTTCTTTGAACTGTCATTTTCTTTGTATTTGAAGTGCAGCCTGCTGTTTGAACATTCTTTTGCTTGAGGTCCTTTGAATCATTTGGTACGTCGATCTGAGGCATTCCTACTGAATGCTTTCCAGTCCCTTTGACACTCTTTTCTGGTGCTCCAGAAGCACCAATCTCCCAGTCCTGTGTGCTACTAAGAGCATCTCCGTGGTGGAAACCACCTGCACAGTCAGTTTCATGTGATGCTCCATCTACACCTCCCAGTGTCTCAAGATCAGCCTTCCTATCTGGAGTTTTGATGTTGGGAAGTTCAAGGTCAGTTGAGCTATCTGTATCTTCAGTCTCCTGAAACCTTGCAGCAACTTTGTGTGCTTCTTGAGCTAGCTTGTCAGTGCCATCTGAAGTACTGTCACCTTCAGCTTGTATGTCAGCATTAGTCCTTGGATGGGCCAAATGAGATAAGTTTGACTTGGATGAGTACTCCTCAATCACAGGTGGCAGTGGCTCTTCTGCCTTAGGCAGAGCTGTGTCCGCATTGTGCACCTTCTTAGGACAGTCTTGAGTTACGGTGTCAGTGTCTGCAGAGTCGGGCGACAAACTCTGGCTCTCATTCTCTTCCAAAGGGGTGTCCGATACGTCTTCCATGTCATCCAGCTGGGGGAGTTTCCGCTTTACTCCAGAAGGTGCCTTACGCAACCGTTTCCTTGCTTTGGTGCATGTATTCCTGCATCGCTTAGCGGCTAAGGCTGAACCATCTTCACAGTATTCCTCCAATGGTACATCCGACACATCTTCGACGTCAGCAGCTACGGCCAGGTTACGCAACACCCTCGCTCTCTTACTGCTGTGCACTTTCTCGCTACGTACTTTGATTTCGATGGTAGGCACTTGTTTAGCCATCTCAGGATTCGGCACTGGCTTTGCAGGGGGTTGAGCTGCAGGAGACTTGTGAGCTGTTCCATTCGCTCTTGAGATCTTGCTTTGTGGAACTTTGATCTTCGCCTTGGAAGGAAGGCCCATTGGCACTCTCACCTTGGTAGGAAGGCTCAGTGGCGTTTGCATCTCTGAGGGAAGGCTCGCCGGAGACCGCGCCTTGGAGCGGAATTTCCTCGGCATGGAGCTATCACAGTGATATGGTATTTTCTCGAGAAGGGGCACTTTCAGATGCACACTTTTTGATGCACCATTGTTTGCACATTGGGGATATTGAACCACTCCATCGTAGCCAGGCAAAGCCTGTGTTGCTGTGGAAGGCCCAGAAGCAACGGCTTTGTCGATGGGGCTGAGTGTTGCTTGAAGATTTGGAGCTTGGGGCACAGTGTACTGGGGGCGAGTGCCACAACGTTTTGTGTGGCGTGGTACAGGCCAGGGCCTAACACATATCTTTCCAAAAGCGGGAAGCAGTGGTCGCGAGTTCGGTCGCCCTACGTCCGCCGGCACCGTCACTGCAGAAAAGGGTCGAAGGCACGAAAACTGGTGTCCGGGCGAGGCAGGGTAGGCGTCGAACAGCGTCTCTTGCCTGTTAAAATCCTCGTGCAGCGGTCGCTGCTGGTAGTACGTGCCGAAGTTGCTCAATGTCCAAGTGTAGAACTTTCCCATCCGCGGTTTGGAACGACAGCACAATTGTATGGCGTTCGAAAAAAAAAAAAAAAAAAAAAAAAAAAAGTACAATCGCAACGCTTATAAAATGTCGAAATGACGGTGCTGCGAAAAGAAAACCAAGCACCAACCGGACGACTTTTGCGCGCTCCCGAGGCCAGCGGAAGCAAGCGGCCTAGCAGAGGTCGCGTAGACGGCGAGTTTTTACTCGAACGAAAATTGTCCCGCGTTCTTTTTCACCCGGCCACGGTGGGAGAACGTAAACGAGTCACGAACGCCGGTAACTACGGATCTAACTTAAAGAACTCAGTTGCAGCCCGCACTGGCGGCGTCACAGCGTCAACGTTCGGTTCTCGCGAACACAGGCAGCCTTCGAGCAGTTCACGGGGTACGCTTTGACAGCGCGCGAGAGCAACTGTCCGGACAGCGGCCACTGCAACCGCGACGGAACTCACATATTCGCACGGGTTTGCGGCGTCCGTTGTCGTCAGTTCTTGCCGAAAACACACCGCTGTTTCGTTGGGCCTTGTGTGTGTGCGTTGCCTTCCCAGAACGACGTTCACAGCGCGTGGCGACGCCAGCGAACCGGCCGCGAAGGCACAAAAGCGAGCACGGCCATGGTGGGGGCTCGCAAAGTTCCGCTTGGGCGACGGGGCAGTCTGGTAGAACAAGCGTAGCGGTTGTAAAAGGAGAGGAAAAAAAAAGAAAGAGGAGGCAGGTTGAACGTTGGCGGATCACGCCACAAATGGATTGGACTTTTCGTAAAATGTTTGACAAGTCGCCGAAAAAAAAAAAAAAAAAAAGGACTATGTGGGATTAGTAAGTCGATCGTGGACGGTTTCGACTGCTTCTCTCGGAGTTCGAAACATCGTCGCCGCGGCGGCCGCGGTGGCGGGGAGAAGAAAAAAAAGAAAAAACGAAGCCGAAACTTGCCCGAGTTGCTCTGGCGCTAGACCAATCCGGGCGCCAGTGCTTTTTAACGTTATTTAATTTATTTTTTTTTTAAGCGCGCCGCGCGACGCAGAGGGGCGCCGGTTGTGTAGGGAGAGAAGAAAATACGTTTTTTTTTTTGTTCCTTTCTCCTCGTCCCCTTTCTTTTGTGAGGTACAGCAAGTAACGAATACATTGGGGAAGGGCAAAACTCGGGCATCCCCAGGCCCCCCCGCCCCTCCTCCCTTCTCCCTCCCAGTTTCTTTTGTGTCAAGAGATCGGACCGAGGACGTTGAGGGTTGGTGTTCAGCTTAGTTGAGGGGACTAAAAAAAAAAACTTAGACCTTAAACCTTTTTTTTTTTTTTTTGCATTAAGAAGTTTGAAGGGCATTGTTGGCTTAGGGAAGCTGCAGAACTGGAACCGGCATGAAAAAAGTGTCAATGTGTGGGCTAACTATGCCACCAAAACTTCTCTCTGCCTGTGAAAAAGTTCCAAAAGGACCTGTGGAAACAATGATAAAGAAATATCAGATATCATTGCTATGGCGGAGCGAAAGTTTGTCTTCTTCTCACACAGAGGATGTGATGTCACAACGCCAAGCTCTTATTGGTTGATTGAAACAAATGTAGTGCGTAGACCTCGAGGCATCAAGCATTGAGGTCTACCCACTATCCTTTCAGTCAAAGCCAATGAGAGCTCAGCGTCGTTCTGACGTCAGTCACCGCAACTCTTGCGCAAGAAGCAGATGACTTGCTCTCCGACTTGCTCTCCATATTGCGGAGGCACACTTGCTGGCTAATTGTTCGTTCCATCTTGCAGCTTCCAAAGTATGTCCTTACTCTGCTCAGCTGTGTTCTGCAGTATATAATAATAAACAGGTGCCTTTAACTCTTTCCTGAGTGGGCCATTGGCCATTGATCACCGGTGATCAATAGTTTCCAAGTGCTGTCAAGAAATTAAATTTAGTGCAGAAAATTATGTTCAACGATCTCGTGGATAGCCGAAGGATTGTAGTTTCAATTTCAACGTGGGTTTGAGCGTTATCACAAGCTTGTGGACTGTGAAAGACAGTCTTAAGAACGGTGGTTGCACATGGTCTAACACGGCTAACTGCTTGCATTAGTCTTCGTAACAAACATGGCATTATTCATGTAATTCAACTGTATTGTGGCATATTTTTAGACCTCAAGAGCTCTGGGGACACTTAAAGTGATGTTATAGGTGTCGCTTAAAGGGGCCCTGCAATGACTTTTTGACTGGTTTTTAATTTGCACTAAACCTGAGCGTACTGAACGTAGTAACTTAATCCAACTTTTCTTTTCTCAAATTTCGCTTTATTTTAAAAGTTATAGGCAAATTAGAATTACAAAAACAAGCAAAAAATAACCTCCTTCATGACGTCGTAGGTCCTACCTTGAGTGGCCTTGAACTAGAGGAGGAGTAGTGAGCTCATCGAGCGCACACGGCTGCCGCACACCGTGTCGACGGCTCGAGAGTGCGCCACTAAAGCACGTGTTGGATAGGCTGTATGAAGTGGGCGGCCAGGGCAGCTCGCATTGCATTTGCAGCGCGACTAAACACTAATTCGGCATAACATTTCATTGGCCACAAACGACAGCAAACACGGGGTAAAGGTCAGTTCAGAACGGGAGCCACTTCGCGCTGACGCACCGCCAAATGGCCAAATTGCCAGCAGGGCCCGCTCAGAACCGGTCGGATTCTGGAGCCGGTATACGACCACAGCGCCGCCGCGTACATCCGGGACTTTTCTACACTCCTCGTTTGTCGTAGCCTCATCCCACTAGTCTTTTCTATAGTATGCGCCGTTTTTTTCCGCCGCTTGGTGGCGGGTATGTCGACGGGTCATTTCTCGTTTCCGTACTTTCTAAACTGCATTTGTTTCTTTTCTGACCTAGATTAGTGAACAAAAACTACTTTCATACATAATTGAAACGGTTCGCGACACTTATATTTTGTACCTTGACTAAAAAAAAGCTCTTAGCGGCTTTGACCAGTGGCAAGCCCAGGACCAAAGACGTCACATTTTGCTTGCTTTCGGTACCGCGGGTCGCCCTCGTCGGTGGAGGAGGTTTCCGCGTCGTCCGGTTAAAATGTGATGCACTGATATTTAGTTACTCTCTCCGTGCCCGCTGGCTTGCCCCAACCCCAAGAGACGTGGAAACCGCAAAAAAGGTAGACGCTTAAATATGATTGCAGGGCCCCTTTAAGAGATGGTTATTGGTAAGCATCATTATAATTTCTATTGCCGTGTACTATAATTTTCATTGCTGTCCTTAGCCAGCGTGCACGTTTTATATTCCCAACAAGGCAGACAAAAATACTAAATATGATAGAACTGCAACCAAGGCCATGACAAAACCAAGGTAGAACAGAAAGAAAGCATTTTGCTGGGGATGTGAGGTGTACTATCTGTTTTTCACCAGTAGAAGCATTCCTTTATTGAAAAGTGCACGTGTTACAGGGGCTAGCTCTGCAAAGAACCTAAAATAGACGTCAGTTAGAGTACATTAACTTTCAGAAGAAATAGCCGTGAGTGCTGGGCACATTTAGTATATTCAGAATTTTTCTTCTATTTGTCGTTTAATTTGAATAGCTGTAGAAGTGTCAGTGTTTATACGCCTTCTGCACGTTCATTGTATTTTCAAGCAATAACATTTTAAAATATTTTTTTCACATTATACCAACCTGAGTTTCTTTTGAAAGAACAACTAATTGGCCACATTTTGATGTGTCATTTTGCTTCATACGCAAATTAGTAGGGAAAATAAAAGCATTTGCACAGACTCTCTATGAATTTCTACTTTTCCCGTGGTCAGGAAAGAGTTAAAATTACTGCAGTGTCACAAAAAAAATCTCAGCTATGGGCACAGTCAGCGTTCCACTTCTCGAGCAGTATTTGCCTCAAGATCGAACCGTGTCGCCACCGTGCGGCCGAAATCGGAAACATGTGAAAGCAGGGATACCGCCGTACTCGTAAGAAAGCATTTGCGCAGACTCCTTATGAATTTCTACTTTTCCCGTGGTCAGGAAAGAGTTAAAATTACTGCAGTGTCACAAAAAAAATCTTAGCTATGGGCGCAGTCAGCGTTCCACTTCTCGAGCAGTATTTGCCTCAAGATCGAACTGTGTCGCCACCGTGCGGCCGAAATCGGCAACATGTGAAAGCAGGGATACCGCCGTGCTCATAGCCGTGCGTCATCTGCTGCATACGCACGTTCGAAAGCATAGATCTCAACGACACAAGCCCGTTTCCGGCTGAGCTGAGCTTTCATTAAGTGCTAGTTGTTTTTGTTGTCGTTTCTTCCTACTAAAGGTTGTGTTGTATCGCTTCATGCACGTGAAAATTCAGTAAAGTGAATATTATTAAGCCGGAAGCTTCCATAATCTTAGTGTTGTGATTTGTATACAAACGCTGGTCCCACATATTTTGTTATCTCGCACAAACCATAGCTTTCATAAAACATTGAATATTGATTGGAGCTGTGGTTTGATTAACAAGTTAACCAGACTAACCGCTACCCTTTAATAGACTAATCAGTTGATAAATTCGTTAGTTGATTTTTCACCAGTGGTATTGCATGAAAGACGTTACAATACATATTTTGTTTACTATTTTGCTATGTCATAAATGGCAAATTGCATGCCCATTTTAAATTTCACGTTGTGACGCCTACAGTAATATGAACGCGGGAAGCTTTGTGAAGTGAAGTAATTTTTAAGTTATTATTTAAACAGTATAATCACTCTCGATGACAATCACAAGCGTGCTGAAGTGGTTTACCGAGCAAGCCTGTGTCCTAAAAGAAATAAATACGTCAGAAATATTATAGCAGGCATTTTTTTTACTTTTTCCTGACTTTCTCCAGCACAAGATAATGATTAATTGGCAAAAACAAATATTGTGATTAAAGCATCACTTGAATAATCTGAAGGTTAATCAATGAACTGCCCAGTCCCGATATGCATTAGGTGAGGGCGGAGAGTGATCGGAAAGTCTCGTGGGAGTCGCTAGCCCTCATCAGTAAAAGCGTGTCGCTGCGGCCAATGCTGTCTGTGTTGTGGTGCGTGTTATTTGTTGGAGCTGCATACTCTACTATGTTTCAATAGAAGATTATTTAGCCAGAAATTTATAATATAGCCTCTAAACATCCGGGGCCCTCATCGAGAAAATTGAAGCGGGTGAACCCACACTACCGAGAAAAGCATCTATTAACACACTCACTACTGCATTGCTTGGTTACACCCATTTGTTCCACTTGCAGCAGATATATTAAGATAGTTTGTTTCAGTTGTCCTGCCAATGAAGAGTTCCCGAATCAGAGCTAGAAGAGGCACTCTCTCCTTATAGCAACGTAGCAGAATTGTTCCGACTCCGAAAAACTTACCCACACCATGGCAAAGTAAAGGGAAATATTGGCTGCAGTGGAACACAATAGCATGGTAATCACCAATACAGCACTAACTTCTTTTCATGCTAAATATTTATAATACTGCAAAAGCTAAAGGATAAAAAGCCCACAGTACCAGTATTACGTTATCAAGTTGGAATTCATTGTTTTGTTGAGTTACTCAGAAAATTGCTCAGCATCATCGTAAAACATTAAATCAACAAATTGCAGAACGATAGAAGGCACGCAAAGCATTTTACAGCTTTCTGAAAAACTGCAGAAATTCGATGAGTTTTTAAGTTTCGTTTTGCAATCGGAGAGCGCATCTTGGCCCCGACGGCACCGCGCCCCGTGGAGAAATAGTGCAACCAACCTCTGCTGCACTCTCCTCGCACAACGCAGCAGAGGCTGGTTGCATTGATTCTCCACGGGTTGCGGTGCCGTCTGGGCCGAGATGCGCTCCAACTGCAAACCGAAGCTTAAAAACCCGTCGAAGTTGTGCAGTTTTTTAGAAGGCCATAAAATGCTGCGCGTGCCTTCTATCATTCTGCAATTTATTTATTTAGTGTTTTTCAATGATGCTCAACAATTTTCTAATTGAAACCCTGCCCTTAAACACAATATTAAAAAAGTTAATTTTGCAAAAATAATTAACAGTCGAATTATCCCAGACTTTAAAAATTTTGCTAAATAGGTCCGTGGCCGAGGACCAAAACGATACAAGCCTTTTTTCGTTGCAACGCATAGTTTTCACAATATCGAATTTGTCTATTTTTCGTGAAACACCCTGTATATGTAGAATTGATGACCTCACATGCACACATCCCCTATTTTTTCGCGATTATCTTCAAATTTTGAGTGGGCGCTTGGTATTTTATGGTATGGTCTGTTCTGGCAAAGTCTCTCTTTTTTCTAAGAGCCTGAGGGGAACCTTCAAGAGAGCTGTAGAGCTACAGGACCAACTGACCATAAACATTCCCTAAACGCAGGGTTCTTCAAACCCCAGCCCGCGGGCTACGTCTGGCTCGCGGAGGTCTTCCGACTGACCCGGTCCTTCTAGTGAAACCCGGCCCGCTTCCAGCGTTCCCGCTGCAACTCGCGCAAAAATAAGGGCACATAAAAAAACGGCACTGCAACACGCACCAACCACGTAAATTAAGATACCAGAAAACAGAGCTGGGCAGTGATATTTCCCAAAAATACAGGAGGACTCTAAAAGGAACACTAACACCCCCCCCCCCCCCCCCCCCCCCCCCCCCGGACCAAATTTTTTTTTTTTTTTTTTTTTTTAATTTTTTACGAGGAGATTTATTATGGTGTCAGAAGACTACCCTGCAACTGCTCAAAACCCAAAACCGAAACTGGATTCGGGAGGAAGAAGAAATAGAGAGAAGGAGAGTGTAACTGGAAATCGCATGGCTGTGCAACATGTTTTTTTTTCAATCAACATAATTAAAATTTTTTAGAAGCCACAAAAAATGGGTGTCATATTTTCAGTCTGTTTGTAGTATTGAGCGTGTGCCTTCGATGACCCAAGACTTTGATTGTCTTTGGCGGTTGTGTCTAAACCATAGAAAACGACATTTGACCACAGAGAAGAGAGTGAGCGCGACTCAAAACGGCCAGTTCTCGAGATTGGAGGTTTTTGGGCGGAAAGAAAACAAATTTCGAGAATGCATGATGGTGGAAAGGAGGAAACATATCAGTGTAATAGGGAAGGAAAATTAAGGAAAGTACAAACATGGGGATTAAAAGGCTTCAAAACCTAAAACACAAATTTTCTCAAAAAAAAAAAAAAAAAGGTAAAGAAGAAAATTGTTTTTTTTATAACATTATAGAGTGAATTCATCAGCTCGCCTGTGTTTTTTTCACTTTCATCGTAAATTGTTTGTCTCTGACATTTTCAAAAAGAAGTTTTAAATGCAAGGCATTTAGAATGCCTTTGCTCACATCTGCCCAAAACCAGTCTGTTGCAACCCGCATACATTACACACTGCACCGAACAAACTACCTGTGAACCGGCACTTGAAGTGCCAGTCAGCCGCTGTGTAATGCAGGGTTCGTGCAGCTCCTTTTATCCTTGAATACCCGGGATTTGGATAAAAGACCTCAAGGACCCTTAAATCTCCTTGAAACACGCAATGCTCCTTGTATTCCTTGAAAATCCGGAAATCAACATGTTTTTGCGAATCGTGACATTTTCAGAAGTTTGCAGAGTGTGCAGCTCTCTGGATACGTTGGTTTTTACATGAAAGGGGATTTACTTTGCTTCTCTTGACTCATATGAGCCACGGCGATGCGCCTAGTAGTGTGCAACATTATTGCAGGAGAAAAGCACTTGCCCAGTTGCCTTGGCGACCGACATGACGGCACACTTTTCTTGCCGCTAGGTGCATTGCTATCAGATAATGGCCACCGGAAAATGCATTGTTTTTTTTTCTAAATGTGCCTCCTCCATGCACAGAAAACATATCTGACAATTTTATTTAGGCTAGGATTGTATTTCACAGTTTGTTTGGCAAATCTGCCCACGCTCGCGTAAATCGTGGCCATGATTGCTTTATGCAACATGCATCTGTTTTAAAGGGCACTTTAATCCAATTTGAGGTGTCCCGCGTCATCGCCCCTTTTGCTTTGTGTTGCCTCCATTTTTTTTTCAGTACCCTTAAAATTCTTTAAAAGTCCTTGAATTTTGCATCAAAAATTTTGTATAGACCCTGGTAATAGCAGCTGGTAGTGTCGCTGCTGGGCCCGATGCTCTTGTTTAGCAGTCGCGTTCCTTGCTCCTCTCTTCACACTGCTGCGCCCGCCTTTGTCACTTCTGCGTTATTCTGGTGGTACGCAAAGGCCGCAAGCAAGAACCTTTGTATTGCCTGTAGTCTGCTCTGCTGCTGCCAAGCGCGCACTGAGGGAAGTCCTCGGTCCAAGAGCAGTCATTGATTGCATACTCCGCACTGTACGCTCTATTGAGGTATATATTCCAGACTTGGACACAGTAGTGCTATGACACAGTTGTGCTAAGACACTATCCTAAGACACTATGGATACAGTACTGCTAAGGCACTATGGACACAATAGTGCAATTTTAAATGCTGCGCATTTAAGATTGGAAAAGAGCAGATGGTAATAGTTGTCTCCTTTCCCCTTAGGCTCGGCCTGGAGAGGGGCAAGACCGCCCGGGAGTCCCTGGACGTCGTGGTGGCGCTCCTGGAGAAGCATGGTCAAGGGGGTCCCTGCTCGGACACCATGCCCTTCACGTACCACAACAGCTTCCTCATCGCCGACCGCACCGAGGCCTGGGTGCTCGAGACGGCCGGGAAGCTCTGGGCAGCTGAACAAGTCACGAGTGAGTGGACATATCTTGATTCGAGCTATTGAGCGAAAACTAAAAACGCTATAAAACGTGGTTTAACCCAGCCTTGCTAGCCTCGCCTAAAGGGCTGTCCAAGCAGGCTACTCCAGAACGCTTGAGGCGACACTTCTCCGCCATGTGCAGTGAAAGTTGAAGTCCAGCAGTCCGTCTTCTGTTTGGACATCCACCAGGCGAAGAGGCAAACATTACAACTTTCCTCCTGGGCCTCCTTTGCCTTTCTTTGACATCGCTGCCCGTCAGACTTGGCATCGCATGCCACCGGCCTACGGTGTCCTTGTCGCCCGTCCATCTGTTCTGCTGCACCCTCGTATCCATTTCGCTTTCCCGTTTTCGGAACTCAAAGAGCAGCGGAGGCCTCGAGCGATTGACTGACAGCTGACAGAGCATGCGATGTCCGGAACCATGTGATGAGTACGCCCTAGGCCTCCGTGGAGGACAAAAGCGGACTTTGGAAAAAGGAGGCTTTCTGTGATGATGATGCTGATGCGACAGAAGCCATGCATCTGTCGCGCGAGAATAAAGAGAAGTGTTTGGCATCTCGAGCTGCCTGCACACGCACGCTGAGAACAATGGTATTCATTCCTTCCTGCCCCCGTTTTACTCGGGAAAGCTTATAACAAACTGGCGACAAGGATGGGATGGCGCCGCTAGCATCATCATCACTCTTTCCTCCCGGCAAAAAAAAGAAAAAAAGAAACACTGACGGAAGCAGGTCGCCATGCTTCATATAGCGGAGATGTGTTGCTTCATGCATTCTTGAAGTGTTCTGTTTGGACAGCCCTTAATCCATCCTGAAGTCCTTGGGGAGGTAGTGCCATTGTCTTTTCTGCCTGCTAAAGGCTGGTTTGCACATTCATGTTTGTGTGTGATAGACATACTGCATTGTGGCTGCTTGAAACTGCTTCCGGGAGAACACGCTGGCTCACTGGTGCCAACTATCGGCTAGCCATGGCTCACGTCCAGTTTTAGGTGTTGTTTTTTCACCACTGGCTTGAAATAATTCTTACGGTGTTATTGGGAGTGTGCAACGCCCATAGGGGGGCGCCACTCCACCTTGGCAGCTGGTTGGCAGTGCCACCGGCGACGGCGTCCACGTCAGGTCGCATAATGAAGCGCCACTCACTTCGACCTAATCTACCTACTACGCCCGTACCGTCTTCTCGTCCGCGCCTGCGTCTTCCCACGGCTGTGTTTCTCAGTCTCGCTCTGGAGTAAAGGCAAGCAGCAACAGCTGTAACCTGCTGCCGCGTCTTTCGTTTATCTGCTCCAGAAGACGACTCTACGAAGCGTATGGTTGTTTGACGGTTCGGAAATCTCTACGGGACGACGACATTCGTCGATGCCAGTAATTGATCGAATCTACTTGATAAGTATTTTTCGTTCCTCTTATTATCAGATGCTCTTCACTCGCCTGGCCGATCAAATAGACATACTGGGATCAAGATGATCGCGGCGCCCTTCAACGGCGCACGCGGAGGGGATGTGTTCTTGATTATCCGGTCTTGCGTAAATAAAAAAGTTGGCGCCACCTGTGGCCCCAAATGTTCTGTATAGCGCTTTGCTCGGGTGAGCCGACATTAATTACAAATTAAGATTGGCTGCTACATAGGATGTCTATGCCAGTACAGCTGTAGTAAAATGCTTATGTTAGGAACTACACTGTGGCGCCACTAGCTGTCTTGTCGCACGCTTCCAATAGGCAACTGCTTTTCATAGGTAGTCCCTATATATTTGATCTCGCTCATACTGCAAAGCCTTCGTATGATGTCACCGGCATCCACATCGTCATCTTCATCATCACTGATGACGTCACCGGCATCCACATTGTCATCGTCATCATCACTGATGATGTCACCGGCATCCACATCGTCATCGTCATCATCACTGACGACGTCACCGGCATCCGCATCGTCATCGTCATCATCACTGATGACGTCATCAGTGACGTCACTGATGTCGTCACCGGCATCCGCATCGTCATCGTCATCATCACTGATGACGTCATCAGCGACGTCACTGATGACGTCACCGACATTCGCATCGTCATCGTCATCATCACTGGTGAAGCCATCAGTGACGTCACTAAGGACGTCATCGGTACCCGCATCGTCATCGTCACGGATGACGTCATCAGTGACGTCAGTGATGACATCATCGGCATGGGGGGTCACATGACCCCCAAGGTCACGTGACCCCCCCCCCTGGTTAGTTTACCCCCCCCCCGTGCCCTTCCCTCCTCCTCCTCAAGAGCTGCGCTCTAATTCGGCGTTACAGGGAGTTGTAAGCGGCTTTCATTTTTTTTTTATGAAATAACCTTGTGGTGTAGTTTTTAGGAATTGAGGATGTTATATTCATCACGTTCTTTACTGCTACGGAACGGGCAGGACCGGTATGGCGCCCAGATAAGTTCCAATGGCTCGCTGCCTCGCGCATGCCCTTGTTCGAGAGCATGGCTAGCGCTGCCCGGTTTGTGTGGGCGGCAGCTTGGTTGCTTGATACGCAACAGATTTTCCCCCTTAGATGGAGTGTCCATATCTTGAAGGTGGGCACCTAGCCCGAGAGCTGGTGCGCTGAACAGCTTGGACGGGAACATGCGGTGTAGCTCCTTCTGGAGACTGTATTGGTAGAAACGGAGGCAGCTCTTCAGCAGCAACGGTTGAATGCGGTGCCGGTAGTCTTGCAGATGGCTCCTCACCAGCAACAGTCGGAGTGGCAGGACTGGCCTCGGCTGCTGCTGCTGTGAACCACGCTGCTGGCGGCATCGTTTCGCATAAGCCTCTTGCCAAGAGACTATGGGGCCCGGATGTTTGAGGCGTAACTCCAGATAGTCGTCTTCGAATGTGGTCGACGTGTCTGCGGATTTCTCCAAACGCCGTTTGGAGAAGCCAAGATTGAAGACCGAGCTGCTTGAGTAGTGTTCCTTCTAGCCACCTCGATTTTCCGCAAAAATTTATAGCAAACACAGGTTGCCCTTCAACAAAGCGGCGTGAAGGGGTCGTCACCTCTCTTCCTTCCTCGCCTTCTCTTTTGTTGCATGTTTCTGGTTCTGGTGTAACTCGGCTTATGTTTGATGCCAGTTCACGGCCGAACATTAGCAATGCGGGTGTTTTCCCGGTGGAGGATGTGACAGTGGTGTGCTGCTTGTAGAGCAATCTTGCCAGTCTCACTAACAAGCTGCCGACTTTGTCTTTTTGAAGTGCTTGCTTCAATTCAAAGACCATCCGCTCTGCCTGGCCGTTGGTAGCCGGATGGTATGGTGCGCTTGTCACAGGCTCCACACTGTTTCGTTGGTAGAAATCGAGTACCTTTCTTGACACAAACACGCTCCCATTGTCCGACACCACCTTCCGTGGCTGTCCGAATGTCGCAGAGATAGCACGCACTTCTCTAATAACAGCTGTGGACGTGACTGAGGTCATCGCTCTCACCTTCAGCCATTTTGTGTATGAGTCCACAACTACGAGAAACATGTGTCCTTCCATCGGGCCGGCAAAATCAAGGTGTATGGTGTGCCATGGCTGAGATGCATGTTCCCAGTTTGGCACAGCGGCTCTCATCGGAATACGCCTGGATTCCTGGCAGATTCGGCATGCTTTGACTGCATGTTCTATGTCCCTATCGATAGCGGGCCACCATAAGTAGCTCCTGGCTGACGTCTTCATCGAAACGATGCCCTTGTGTCCAGCATGGAGCAAATCCATTGCTTCGGTACGTGCCTGTGTGGGAATGACCACCCTCGAGCCCCAAATAACGCATCCTCGTTGAGTGGACAGCTCTGTCACTTTCTTCTTGTAGGGAGCAAACTCTTCACCCCTGCGGCGGTCAAGTGTTCTTTGTTGCAACGCCTTGAAGATATGAGACAAGGTGGGGTCTTGAAGTGTCATTTTTGCGATTCTTTTCGCCGTGAGCGGCGAGACCGGCAGCGCCTCGATCATCAGCACGTCTTTGGGCGGACAGGGTTCGTCCTCACTATCATGTAAGGGAAGGCGACTTAACGCGTCGGCGTTCCGGTGTCTCCTTCCCGGCCGATACACTAGCTCATAGTCGAAGGCTGCCAGCTTGACACACCATCGCATCATGCGTGGAGACAGCACTTGAGGTACTGGCTTCTGTGGTCCCAGGATGCCGAGGAGTGGTTGATGATCCGTGACGGTGAGTATGTGTTGTCCGGCAATGTACTGATGAAAATGGATTGCCCCGTAGATAATGGCGGGGCCCTCCTTATGCAGCTGCGAGTAGTTCCTCCCAGCGTCTCCCAAAGTCCTTGAAGCAAACGCTATTGGAGCTTCTTGCCCTCCGCTATCAACCTGTGCCAAAACGGCACCAACACCGTACGGTGATGCGTCACAGGAGAGTAGAAAAGGTCTTGACTCATCGTAATGGACCAAGGTGGTCCGGTGCAAGATGAGTTCCTTGAGCTTTCTGAATGCTGTCTTGTGAGGAGCCTCCCAGCTCCACGGCCTGTTCTTCTCTAGAAGGGTATACAGGTCTTTCGTTACTGTTGCTCGGTTTTCCAGAAACCTGTCATAGAAGGCGAGCATCCCGAGAAAAGACTGGAGCGTCGTCTTTGAAGTCGGTTCTGGCAGATCACGAATCGCCTTCAACTTGTCATCCGTTGGATTAATGCCTGCTGAGTTGATCTTGAAACTGAGGAAGGTTACTTCCGGGACTCCAAAGAAACATTTTTTTTCTGTTGGCACGAAGAGCAATGTCTTCAAGTCTTGAGAGGACGATGTCTAGTCGATGATTGTGCTCCTCCTGTGTGGACCCAGCGACGATGAAATCATCCAGGTATGCACTGATACCTGATATCCCCGCAAGGGTCGTGTCCATGCACCTTTGGAATATTGCTGGAGTCGCGGAAACACCGAAGGGCAGTCGGTTGACACGGTAAAGCCCCTTGACTGTGTTAATAGTCAGAGTCTTGACTGTAGAGTCAGTGACCTTGAGTTGTTGATATACTTGTGTCAGGT